TACATAAGTTGTACCTGTCAGCTGTCAGAAAACAGGGGGTGTAGAGCTTAAATTACATACTGCTTAGCGAGGAGAGCTCTTAGAGCTGATCGGAAGGAAGTGACACTTCATGCAGGAACAGAGCTGAGGCTTTCAATCACAGGCTGTGTGTCTGAGGCCCCTCTTCATTCCCTTTTTTTTTTTTTTCTTGGTGTCAGGAAACATGTCAGAAGTGATTCATGCTGATAGCAAAGGAACAAATCAGCAGAAAGAGAGAGAAATGACACTTGGTGCTTTTAATTGAGACAATTACACACTACAGAGAAATATGCTTTGTTCATATTTCATGCCTGAGGTTTACAACCACATTAAGGGTTGCTGCATGCTGCAGCCAAGAGGGAGGGGGGGGAGGGAAGAGGCATGGGGAAAGACATACAAGGAGAGCGGTATAAGAACATGAAAATATATAATAATTTGTCAGCTAAACTGATGAAACCTGTAGTGGGAATATGCCGAAAAAGTGGCACAAATTTGACATCACGCCTATCTCTGATTGGCTTATCGGAGGGTCAAAGCCTATTCAGAATGCATGGCAGCTCATGAATGATGTAGCCAAAAAAAAAAACACGTATGGAGATGACTCGCAACTTGTTCTGTAGGTGCATCTCTTCTGTGTGAACTGTGCACCGTAAACCGTACAATTCCAAACCCATTTGAGAGAATTAGCTTGTGTTACAATATGGCTGCCAACAAAGTCCCATTAGAGGTATTTTTGTTCTATAGTGTTACAGTGTTAAAACTCTTGTTCAGTATGCAGAGAGGTAAAATATCTGGACCGTTAGTGTTTTTCTGCCTGGGTTAGTCTCCAAAGGAGACCTGTTAGTCTTGACCATTAAATAGAACCCTGGGAGGGGCAGCAAAGAGAAGACCTAAACTATAACTTGTAATACTGTTTATGGTATTCCATAAACCACTAAATATTTTGAGACCTAAAGCTGCTGGGGGATTTCAGTGGCTAGGACCCCAGTGTTTATGCATGTTGATTAGTAACATTTGATCTCAGGTACCATGTAGAGAAAAAATGGTCAGATCTCACATCTTACCAGGCCATCAGAGACCTCAGGTTGATGGAGGTTGGTGTGATCGTTGTCTCGAGCATTAAGGTTTAGGGCTTGAACTTTGCCAATGTTGTGGAAGATGGGAGGGGGGTTTGTCCATTGTGGAATCTGGTCCGTCTTCATCCAGGTAATGCAGGTGGAGAGATATCCATATTGGCACAGTAGCCATGTAGATCTCTAAGAAATCTCAGTATGGCTGAGCAGCCGTCATGCAATCTGACTAGGCGGGCCAGAAAGAAAGTAAGGGCTTTTCCGCCAACGAGGGTCTCGGAGGCCAGATCACGATAGATTTGCAGCTCAGTACCATCAAATTCTATTTCCAAGGAGAACTTGAGTTTATTCATAGGAAAGCTTCATTCTCCTAGTAATGTAGCCTGACAAGAATGTCTCTTAGGTTGTTACACATTGCTTTGGTGGGGGGGGGGGGGGGGGGGGGGGGTGAGTCATGATGTAGGAGAGGTGTGTGGCCTTTTCAAGAGAGTATTGAAGATGCCCCATACCCTGTCCACCAAATTTGCATCCTGAATGGCCTCCATTAGCCCTCTGATTCTCAAGTTGAACCTATTCCTGTTCTCCTGGTCCTTGATCTTATAGAAAGCTGATCTGGTATTGCGCCAAGTGGAGCATTCCTGATCTTGGAGCTTCACAGTGAGGCAATCTTCCACTTCCTGCACTCTTTTCAGCACATGTAAATTCTCAGTCCTTGAAGAGGAGATTTCTTGATCCAAATCTGTAGATCCAGCTGACAGTCCCGTAAAAGAGCGAGAGCTCAGTATATGCTTTGTCGAGTCCTGAGTCACCCTGTGGTTAGGTAGGCTTGTTGCAGTTATGTACAGAACCGCTGCCTACAGCAGCAATTCAGAGGATAGATCATTTCAGGTGGAGCTAGAGTTTCAGGACTTTGACTGTTCCTCCTTGGAGTTTCTCTTTCCCATGTCTGATGGTAAGATTAAAAGCTAACTCCACCATTTAGGACATGTTAAATGTTTTACCAATATTTAGACAAGCGAACTAATCCCCTATGTCAGTGTGTGAGGGTTCCTCTCTCCAGTGGCAGCTGTCACTCTTAAAGTTTGCATGTCTGTGCAGGGCTCCTCCTGCCCAGCTACATCATTTGTTTACCGAAATCTGTGAATTAATGAATTGCAAGTCCTATCTGCACTGTGGCAGATGGACTTGTAGTTCTCAATGGAACACAAGTGCGGTGATTACTGCACTTGCAGTCCATTGACTCTTCCTACAACTTACAGTGGCTATAAAACATCTACACACCCCTGTTAAAATTTCAGGTTTCTGTGATGTAAAAAAATGGAGACAAAGATAAATCATTTCAGATCTTTTTCCACCTTTTAATGTGACCTAGAAACTGTACAAATTGAAAAACAAATTGAAATCTTTTCTTTCTTTTTTTGGGGGGGGAGTAAACCTAAAAAAACTAAAATATGTGGTTGCATAAGTGTGCACACCCTCTTATAATTGGGCTGTAGCTGTGTTCAGAATTAAGCAATCACATTCAAAATCATGTTAAATAGGAGTCAGTACACACCTGCCATCATTTAAAGTGCCTTTGATTAACCCCAAATAAAGTTCAGCTGTTCTAGTAGATCTTTGCGGACATTTTCTTAGTCGCATCCTACAGCAAAAGCCAGGGTCCGCTGAGAGCTTCCAAAGCATCAGAGGGATCTCATTGTTTAAAGCTATCAGTCAGGAGAAGGGTACAAAAGAATTTCCAAGGCATTAGATATACCATGGAAGACAGTCATCATCAAGTGACATTACCAAGGTCCGGACATCCCTGCAAAATTGATGAAAAGACAAGACAAAAACTGGTCTGGGAGGCTGCCAAGAGGCCTACAGCAACATTAAAGGAGCAGCAGGAATATCTGGCAAGTACTGGCTGTGTGGTACATCTGACAACAATCTCCCATATTCATATGTCTGGGCTATGGGGTAGAGTGGCAAGACGGAAGCCTTTTCTTATGAAGAAAAACATCCCAGCCCAGCCAAATTTTGCAAACACACATCTGAAGTCTCCCAAAAGCATGTGGGAAAATGTGTTCTGGTTGGTGAAACCAAGGTTGAACTTTTTAGCCATAATTCCAAAAGATATTTTTGGCGCAAAAACACTGCACATCACCAAAACAACACCATACCCACAGTGAAGCATGGTGGTGGCAGCATCATGCTTTGGGGCTGTTTTTCTTAAGATGGAACTGGGGCCTTAGTCAGGGGAAAGGGAATTATGAACAGTTCCAAATACCACTCAATAATGGCACAAAACCTTCTGGCTTCTGCTAGAAAGCTGAACATGAAGAGGATCTTTTAGCATGACAGCAATCCAAATAAAGGAATGGCTTCACCAGAAGAATAAAGTTTTGAAATGGCCCAGCCAGAGCCCAGACCTGAGCCTGATGGAAAATCTGTGGCATGATGATCTGAGAAGGGTTGTGCACAGGAGATGCCCTAACAATATGACAGATTTGGAGTGGAAGTGTGGACAAATATTGCCAAGTCAAGATGTGCCATGCTGATAGATTCATACCCAAAAAGACTGAGTGCTATAATAGAATCAAAAGGTGCTTCAACAAAGTATTAGTTTAAGGGTGTGCACACTTATGCAACCATATTATTTTAGTTTTTTATTTTTACTTCCACCTAAAAGATTTCAGTTTGTTGTTCAACTGAGTTGTACAGTTTATAGGTTACATTAAACCCCTTCACGCCGGCGCCTCCCGGCCCTTTAAGGGTTCTCAGAAGCCGGGGGGGCGGGGTTTAGGGTCATGTGACCGCCGTGACACAGTCACGGTGGACACATGATCAGGAAAGGTCCTGATCGAAAGAGGAGATCGGGACCTTTCCGTGAGTACCGGACATGTGTGCTGGGCGCGCGCTCTCGGCACATATGTTCTTTTTTAATAGAACGCAAATGTGCAGCCGCTCGGCGTCTAGGCCCAGACGTCGGGAGGCCGCACATTTGTGTTTGGCCGGCGTGAAGAGGTTAAAGGTGTAAAAAAAGAGACAAAGATAAATCATTTCAGAACTTTTTCCATCACAGAAACCTGACATTTTAACATGGGTGTGTAGACTTTTTATATCCACTGTAGTACTAACTTAAAGTCCATACCTTTTTGTAAGGACAAGGAGCTAGAGGACGAGTCTGTAGGAACCTGATCATTACATCTATGATACACTGATTGTAGTTTTAACTGCTTTGCAGGCCTATTTGCAAAAAAAATTAATAAATGTAAGTTTTTTGCTGCAAATATGTGCATTTATTATTTTATGCAAAATGGGTATCTGTAACCTTGGGAGTGCAGAGCAGAGAACAGGGTAGATACATCTTAAACTTGGCACAACTAGTCTGTGCCCTCCTAAATGAAGTTTCATGTAAAAGAAGTGTAGATTATTTATTTTATACATGGGTTTACCTATTTAAAAATATTGTTGACTGAGTTTGGGTGCATCAATGAATCTCGGTTTTTAAATTTGAAAGGCAGAGGATTGCCTTTATTTTTGCTTGTTTATTATGTGTTGGACTTGTGAAAACTGATGCAAAAGTGCAGAAATTAATTTAAAACCCATGTGATGTGCCTGAGCTCTTTTTTAAATAACATTTAGTGACAGCGTACCATTATGATCCTTCATTGCTATCTTTGCACCCAGTTTCGGCTCAGTGAGTTTGGCACCCTGGAAATCATTACAGATTCTGGCACTACTGTCGCTGCTCCTAACACCCAAAATAAAGAAAAAAACATTACAAGCACCATTTGCCTAGCCTCTAAACAGGGTATGTATATTTAACTTATGTTTAATGTGTGGACGTGTTTCCACCTGCTGTGCCGACTTTGACTTTTAATATGATTCCCTTTAGAGAGTAAAAGCAACAGTGAGGGGAGACTTGAAATGGAGAAAAAGGAGTCAGCTGGGGAGAGGTAAGTTCACAATAACACAGAGGCCATACTTCCTTAGCTGGAGCAAACAAGCAGAGATTTTTTTTCTTCTAAATGGAAACAGAGAAATAAATCAGATTAAGTAAAAAGAAAACCTGCCCTGCAAATAAGAGAGTCTGCTATTGCCGACCTTACTTTCTGAAAAGAAGGAAGTTGGCAATACCTGGCTCTTTAATTCTGTGACTAATTGTTTCCATTAAATAAAGAAGCCTGTAGTACTAGAAGTATGTAAATTGCCAGCGCTGTCCTCCTGGGAATGCTTGTTGCCTGACTGTCTCTGGTTTAAAATATTCTGGGTCACAGACCTGAAAGAAGCATGCAGTTAGTGAAGGAAAAACTCTTGACCTATATACTTGTTTCATGGCTATGAAAAGCAGGATAGCCAGGCAGTTAGTATTTTCAGGAGGTGGTCAGATATGGCAGCTTGTATAGGTTTTCCATTACAGGTTTCCTTTAACAAAATCTGGTGTTGGGTGGGCTAATTTGGGAAGATGTGTAAGTATTCTATATTTATTTAGATTTTCATTACTGCCTAAAACTCTCAAGACATGTTCTCCCGCTTGAGTCTCCTGTATGTGTATTTAATGTACTGTATGTGTATTTAATGTATTAATTGCACATGACCACCACTTTACTACAGAGGTTCAAACCTACATAATCAAGAACAAAAACTGTTAGCTTGTGTGATCTACAAGGGAATAACTCATTACTTATGGTTATGGGTTTTGTAGTGAAAGCGTGTCACCACCCGTAGAGGAGCAATCAAATACATCATCCCTACCCACAGTGCCTACAGCCCCGGTGGCCAGTACAGAGAGTGAGCGTCCTCAGAGACTGCGAAAAAAAAAAGAAAGCTGCTTTTGGATTCTGGGGATGAAGAGGACTTTATTGATGAAGAAGAGGTAGATTGTATCTGTATTGCTCTATATTATCCTGATTGTTTCCATGGATGCATGGAGTTAGTGTGTTTTTAGAATAGTAACAGCGATAACCATATTTTATTTCTAGGACCATTTCACCCAAAAGTGTTATCTTAGTGATAGGTGGGGCCCCGGGAGTGTGAATGGGGCCTAATGGTGAGATCTCCTTACTGTCATTTTTAACTCGGTTCTTGTCCACTTGGAAGTTTAAGGTCTTCCAGCTCACCTTTGTATGTCCCAATGCATCTATTTGCCTTCTGCACAATGTAAAATCATTTAATAAATAATTGACTGGTCAGAACTGGTCCAATGTAGATATGCAAAAAAAATAGATTTTAGCTTTAAGAAATGTTTTATTAAAAAGGAGGCCGAATAAAAAAATATAACCAATTAACATTTCTGTCTGCTTTCCTTGTGCTGTGAGAGAATATGATAGGAAAACCCAAATAAAGAACACAGGATTGTTATGGTTAGGCTATCCAGGAACTGTGTACTCTATCATGATAACAAATACAACTGTGAATATATATGAGTAATTTGGTTAAGAAAAAACAGAATTGTTATTTTCAGTATGCAGTATTTGAAAGCTTAATTTAAGTATTAAAGTGTATCTATGGTCAAGATCTGAAACATTTTTTTTTCCCCAAATCAAAGTCAAATTTCAATTATTTCTAGCTACTGCTATTAATCTGAAAGATCTTGAAATTTGTATAATGTACTTTGTGAAGACTCCTGCACATTTATTTCCTTGAATGCTGTGACACATTATGTAAATATGCACTGGTGTCTCACATATGTCACAGAGCCTGCCTTCTGAACTGCAGAGGTGCTGAAGAGGGGTTTCAGGAGGCACAGTCAGTACAGTAAATGCCATAAAATCATTTAATACAGGTAACACATTACCTTGGGATATGTAGTAAACCAAAGGCATGAGTAGAGAAGAAGCTACAAAGCATGCAAGGAATCCATGAATTTTTTGAAAAGATGGCCAGCAGATCACAACAAGAAATTAAATATTTAAAGTAAGCTTGGGTCTCATTCATACAGGGAGTACTAAACCGTACACACGTGTCCCCAAATGCGTACTGTGTGGGTTTGGGGGGACACACCCACACGGATGTCAAATTGTGTCTGTGCAGCCTCTGCTTCCCAATTGACATCAATGGGACTGCCTGCATGGGGATACACAGAACACATGTGCATCCCCACATAAGCAAACATGGTATCCCAATGGGCATATGATTTAGTAAGTCTTATATCAATGAGGCCTTATATTGGTATGTCAATAACTATTATTTGTATTGATATTACAATGCTGATGTTGTAAATTGTAAATGTATGCTGTGACTATAGATCTCCTTAAACACGGTCACTCTTATACTTATTATTCACAAATAGGATAAAGTCAGAGGCCACCACAAAGGTCGAAAACCTTCCAAGCAAACAAAATCAGGTATGGTAGAAGGGCCAGTGATGTTAATGACCATTTTCTAAAGGTTAAGATGATTTCCTGAGTGTGCAGTTCTTGGCAGAATCTTCCCACCTGTTGGTGTCTTTGGTTACTTTCCACAACTGGTATGATTTTTTTTTTTTTTTTTTTTTTTTTTTTTCAATCTGTTCTTTAACTTGTATTAGTGGTACTGCTGTCATTTCATAGACAATGTACACTATGTTATTCATAATTACTTAATATGATTCTTTAATCATTAGCACCCACGGCCAAGAAGAAATCATGGAACTGGGTCTCTTACCTAGAAGAAGAGAAGATGCCAGCAGCTCCTTTAAAACTCTTCAAAGAGGTAATTTCTGTAATAATGTGCACTTAGGAAATGTTACTGATGACAGTATCGTATGCTAAAACTTGTGATTTATACACCTTAACCAGTTAAAGTGGAACAGAATTCAAAAAGTGAATATTTGCTATGCTATACGGACCATCTAGAAATGGTAATTTATGCTGAAGCAGTACCCTGAAAATGTGTCTTTTTGGCTGGAATTCCTCCTGAAAATTAGCAGTGTGCTTCCTGGTGTGTGAAAGTGTCTAGGCACTCATGTACCTACAGCCTTATCGCTGTATAACTACAGTTTGAGATCTAAGGAATTGCTGCCTCTCACAGCTATTCTCAGGAGATTTGGTGATGTCACCACTGTGCTGCTCACTTGGAATTCTGGCACAGGGAAGCAAAGCCCTCCCTCACAGTGTAGAACAAGGCATGGTAAGTTCAGTTTCTCTTGAAAGTGTTACTCAACCCACAACAGTAAAATCAGTCTGTAACTGAAGTAAAGCATGCTTGTTATAATTACTGTGAAACCTAAGGGGTTAATCCTCTGCATGATGTAAAAAGGTTGTTTGATCCTGATTGTTCTATCTCTCCTCTTATTTAAGCAACCATCTCTTATCTCCTGATAAGACAGACTGAATCGTAGGAATTTTGCACATGCTTAGTTTGGTGTGTATTGCTATAGCGGGGTTTTTTTTTTTGGGAGAGTGCATGTGATCAGCACAGGGCCAATCATCACTGCCCAAACAGAGGTCAGGGGTTTTGCATCCTCCTAGAGCAGAAGGAAAACTCCTCCTACAAGCTTTAGCTAGTGCTTGGCTGAACACTGATAGAAGCCACAAGACTGCTCTAACGTCTGATGAGAAAAGGTATTTAGCAGTTCATATTTACTAAGATAATTGCATTTCCATGTTCTGTGTACTGTGGGAGCCCAGATATAGTGAATGCAGGGTCCTGGGTTTAGTAACACTTTAACACCTAGATCCCAATCTATTTAGTTGAGCTGTTGTCATGTTACAGTGTCAGTGCTTGTTGAGAGAGAAACCGAAAACAATACATTATAGTTGGCTTCAGACAGCAGGAAAAACTAATTATAACAGACTGAATTCACTAGGCTATAATAAACATTATTTTCCCAACAGTTATTTATTTTAGCATTGATGGCCATTTAGCGCTGACTGTAACTTAACCCCTTTACGCCTAGACGCCGAGTGGCCGCACATTTTCGTTTAGGTAAGAAAAAAACGTATGTGCTGAGGGCTCGCTCCCTGCACACATGTCCGGTACTCATTAAAAATCCCGGTCTGCTCTTTCGATCGGGACCTTTCTCGATCATCCGACGCGTCACGGCGGTCACATGATCCCTAAACCACGCCCGCCCCCAAAACTCTTAAAGGGCCGGGAGGCACTGGCAGGAAGGCGTTAAGTAAATAAAATAAAATAATGTACCTGTAGAAGAGGACTCTCAGTACTTACTAGTCCTGCTGCTGACGTCACCAGAACAGTGCTCTGTTCAGTAATAATCTTCTGTTGAAGTCTGTAGGTAAAACTGACACTGTTCGGAAGTTGATCTCCTGGGCCCCTGCAACTCTCACTGGTTTCTCCTTCTATTATCCATGCATTAGAAGATACAATAATGATGTCAAGGTCAACAGAAAGAATCAGCAAGAGTTGCATGGGACCCAGATGATTATATATTTTCTTAAAGCAGATACAATGTAGAATAAAATTATGGTAGTTGCATTTTTTTTATTTTGCATATTATTTGCACAACTATTTACTTTATTAAATGTATATTTTAAGGAAATAATACACTAATATGAATTTTCGTGCAAACAAACACAATATAACACACATTTTTTTTAATACTAAAGATGGGGTTGTATTATGTTAATCAATACCAAACATGTCAAGTCTTAAAACTGTGTGTGTCACTGAAATCATGAAAAACGATGGTACCCAAAATTCTCCATAGGCTACACTTTAAGAACTTTTACAGGTTGTAAGTTTGGCGTTAACCGTCATTTATGGCCCTAGAATTTTTGCTCTCACTACAACATTCATAGTGATACCTCACATGTGTTGCAGTTAAAGCTTACATACACATTTGTGTCTTACACTACACATTTGCATTGGGGAGTGTATGGGGTGACTGAGGAGATGCTTTACAAAAAAAAATGTTTCTTTTTGTTTTACTACAATTTTTTTCATTTTTTTTTTTCATTTGACTTTATTGCTATTACAGGATGCTTCATGATAGTATGGGCAAGATACAGGTCCTCCTTATGGAGACATCAGGGGTTTATTTCCCTCCACTGCAGCTAATCAAGCACAGATAGTGCTTGATTGGCTGAGTCCTCAGCTACAGTAGCTGAGGGGTGACAACTGTGAACCAGGAAGTGACGTAATGCATGTTGCGTCAGCGTTCACTAGTCATAGGGGGAATTGGAGAACAGATGTTCCCTGATCACCTTCTCTCAAAGTTACTGGGGATGGGAGGAACGGGAGAGCTCAGGAGCCACTATGGTGCTATGTGAGGGAGGGGGACGAAACCTTTGTAAAAAGTGATCAGAGTGGCCCTAGATCTGCCCGATAGCTTTTACCTTGAAGTTGAGAGTTGTCTGCTAAAATCAATACCAAGCTCATGGCTGCTACTTGCCAGGACATTTATAAATGTACCTTATTAGGCAAGTGGTTAAAAACAACATTTCTAAACTAGAAAAGCTACAATTTCTGGGGAAATTGTGTGAAGTGTTCTTGCCTCCACCAGTAGTCTACAACTGCAGTGGGTGGAGTAACTGGGTGGAGTGGCTTGAGTAACTGTTGTGTGGTTGGAGTGGCTGGAGTAACTGTGAAAAGGTTTTGTCAGCTCCCACTCTAGTTTTGAACATTCCTCCATTCATTCCTATGGGACCAATTTCACCACAAAAACGCAGATATTTCGTGAACCATTCGGCGAAACGTTCCACAAAGTAATAGCACACCAATCGGTAACAATCCGCAATATTACTGTCTATGTAGTGTAAAAACTGTGGGAGGAGTTAGGGTGGTAAATTTGGCTATAATAATAAGAATATATATGTGAGATAACAGTAAGTGGTCTTGCCATGCAAGAGCCCTTAACTATCCTAAACAATGATGAAAACATGCGTTCTTTGCATAGCTATTGGATTGAACTACAAAAGAATGGTATCTTTGTTGCCTGCAGCAATGAATGAGCTTTCTCCTTAGGAAAGATTGGATCTTATACACCCTTTTTAATTCTTCACCAGATCTATTTTATATCTGCAAAACCTTTGATTTATTATTTCAGCATCAGTCTTTCCCTCAGTCACGGAATGGATTTAAGGTGGGATACAAACTTGAAGGGATAGATCCTGAACATCCATCTTTATACTGTGTCCTAACTTCAGTCGAGGTAAGAGCATGCACTGTTTGCATTTTGTGTCAGTTATTGAGAAGGATTCACCCATGTGTTTGTGTTTTTTTTTTTTTTCTTTTTTTTTTTTTTTTCTTCCATTCTGTGTGCAGTTTATTATCTCCTTGAAGTCCTCGGATTCTTGATATTTACTGCATTTTGGGGTTTTAGCCTTGAGATCAGAGTGATTTGCTGTGAGTTGGGTAGTTCAAGATGGATCAAATACTTTGCAGGAATCTTACAGTTCACTGTCTTGCTTGAGTTGAACGCACTTAAAGCAATTAGCATAGGATTATACAAATAAGCGTTTGAATAAATAGATGATTTTCCTACACAGTATTCTTTTCTTCTTCCTTTTAAAAGATAAGTTCACCTTTTGGAACGTGTTACACGTTCCACCCATTTTTAGGCTGGAACATTTAACATGTTCCCACTGCTGCAACTTCTCCCTGATCCACTGCCTCTGACAGTGAGCCGAGGATCATCTCCCTGAACTCGCTGTCACAGATTAAAAAAACAACATGGCCCTGCGGAGCTTCGCCTGCCCGGCCGCGTCATTCATTCACTTATTCATAGAGTTCTGTGAGTGGAAAAACTTCAACTACCGTCAGCTGCAAAGACTTGTAGTTTTCAATGAACTACCAGAGCACTGGTGAGCACTCTCGGTAGCTCATTGATGGTTCCTGTCATTGTGTAACTCCCTGCCTGTACAAGGTACAAGCAGACAGCGTATGCTGACAGTCTGCAGGAGCCATGCATTGCACCCGCAATATGCTGATCGAGGGTGCAATGCTTTACAGGCTCCTAATTAAAAAAAAAAAAAAAAAAATAATAATAATAAATGCACTTTTTTTTAACCTGCAAAAAGATGTGCATTTTTATTATTATTATTTTTTTTTTTTTTTTTTTGAAGGTAGACTTAATCTTTTAACATTGTGTCGCAAAGCAAAGTAACACACAGATGTTCAGCACATCTCACCTTTACAATACCTGGCGCAACATAAAAAAAGTTTGGGTATGGGCAAAACCTGCACTTTTCCTCCTGCATTCCACAATACAGTGCAAAGTGTTTAAGCAACCTACTGTCAGACGTGAGTTCTAATAGAGTTGGAATTTGTAGTCCTTTCCTAATCTGGACTTTCAGATCGTTCATATTGGCATAGAATCTAGTGAGGTATGAAGCAGACAGGCAGGCAGGCACTGTAACAGTGAAATGTGGTATCATGCCTCATAACTATATGCAGCATTAATTTGCTTTGTGGCACCGTGTTGCTTGATTTAAACAATAGAATAAGGACAAAACTATGATGAATATTCTTAAATGTATTCATTATAGCGTAATTGTATTTCAAGACATCTGCCAGAGAATTTTAACTATTCATACCAGTGCCTACTCCAGAAGAGCTTGAAATCTATTGTGCCTTATAACCATGCAATAAACATACTCCACACCTAGCTGAAGCAGCAGCTCATTAAAACTGACTTCCATTCTTTGAATACTGGAACGCATAAACAAGGACTGCATCAAACGAGACTGCTAAGATTGGATTTTTACATATCTTGCTTTTAAAAAGGTCCAAGGTTACCGATTGCGACTACATTTTGATGGATATCCAGATTGCTATGATTTTTGGGTTAACGCTGATTCCGTGGATATACACCCAGTGGGATGGTGTGAGAAAACTGGACACAGACTTACTCCCCCTAAAGGTAAAAAAAAAAAAAATTGCAATTGATAATTGTTTTTCTGTATTTTATTAATGTAATTCTACTTAGTAGTTTTGAAGCAGAAATTAATAATGCACTTATCAGGTGTGGGATACCTTCTTTACAGTCTTTGCTAGGGGTCAGTATCAGTCCATTATAGGATGGGTACTTAGAAAGGGACAGGCATTCTACTACTCCCCACATCCTTGACTAGGAGGAAGCTGTTACACCAGATGCAGAGTCTTTGAACAGGAAGAGGAGAACAGTAGATTGTTGACATGGCTGGCAAAAGGGCGTTCGCCCTCGGCTAACATTCCACATTTAGCTGACCCTGCAGATCCCATGTTGACAGATCCGATACAGATCCACTGCAGTTTTGCTTCTTACTATCAGTCTTTTTACAACTCTGAAGTATCTTATAGTGACACGGATCTAGTGGCATATCTGGAGAAAATCGACTTTCCTGTTCTTAGAGACAAACTTGAGGCTCCCATCACACTGAAAGAGGTACTGTTTACAGTGGTCTCCCCCCCAGTCTGGGAAGACACCTAGATCGGACAGACGTCCGGCAGAATTTTTAAAAACATATGCTGAGGACTTAGCCCTGTACTTTCACGCGATGCTCCAGCATTCACTGGAGGTGGGCTCTCTGTCTGCCTCCATACAGGAGGCAATTATGGTTGTTGTCCCCAAACCTGGTAAGAACCCAGAACTCTGCTCCTGATATTTTCTAATATCTTTACTTAATATTGATGCTAAACTCCTTACCAAGATTTTAGCCCACAGCCTGAACCTTGTTATTACTGCCTTAGTATATATTCACGAATCAAGGCTCATGCTGGGTAGGGGTACCAACATCAATATTTATAGATGGCCCTGGCTTCCCTGGACCACCTTCCCTGGAGGGGTGGTGGCTTCTCTGGAGACACAAAATGCATTGGACATACCTCTGGGCAATCCTATGGAAATTTGGATATGGTCCTCAGTTTATCCCTGTTATTTATCACTGTTGTCCCGCTAGAGGTAAAACTCTTCCTATATCCAGTGAGGCCTATTCCTCTCTCCATATAGCTCTTAATATTCTAGATTAATTCTGCTCCTACTCTGGGGTTAGAATAACCTGAGAAAAGTCATATTCTCACTACATCCATCCTGCCCCAAGATTGATGTAGGCACTCCTCCTCTTTGTTGGGTGGGTGAAATCATCTACCTTGGAGTGAGAGTTTGTGGTGAGATGTCAAACTATTTGGAATTTAATCTCTACCCATTACCCATCTCTACCCATTACTCCTATAACTTGCCTCAAGATGTAACTTCATAGTGATCTCTTAATAGAGTGAATCTCCTTTAAAATGTTTTTCCCAGGAACACTCCTGTGCCTATCCCTAAACATTTCTTTCTTATGATTTATGACATTATCCTTTCCTTTATTTGGGCTGAACAGGTCCCTCACTTGGCGAAGACTGCGTTTCAGCTACCCATTTCCCAGGGTGGACTTGCCCTTCCTATTTTCCAAATTTCTTATTGGGCAACAGGGTTGGTCACAATCGGGTAATGGTTCTCTCAGCCCAAGGATAATCCTGTGGTGACTCTTGAGGCAGTTATACTAGGTTCCTGCTCTACCCTCCGTAATCTGGTGTTCCGGATGCTTTGATCGCATGACCGGATGCTTTGATCGCATGACCGGATGCTTTGATCGCATGACCGGATGCTTTGATCACATGACCAGATGCTTTGATCACATGACCAAATCACATGCTTGATGGGCACTACGTTGCGAGTATAGAATCATGCCAGTGTGAAATTGTGCACCCCCATCCACCTAACTGCCGAATACTGTTGTGTGGTAGCCCCTCCCTTCTTTACCAGTTTGCCAGATCCTCACCTATGGGCCATATGATGGATGGGAAGCTACTGCACTTTAATGAGCTGAAATCCAAATTTTCACTACCCAACTAGATGTTCTTCTGGTATCTGCTGCTGCGGCATGCAGTGGCGACTCATTTCCCATTGCACCTAACTTTGGAATCTGACCCTCTGGAGAGATTGCTCCAAGGAGAAAGCCAATATCTGATATATTTCTCCATCTATCTCTAGCTTATGCCACCAAATTGGAGTGTATCTACTAGAAATAGACAAATATCTTTCCTAACCATACTGAGGATGACTGAAAGGACTATGTGGAAAAGTACGTTACTTAGTTGATAACAGCTAGAGAAAGATTTTTCCAACTTAAATTACTTCATAGGGCTTATGTCAAACCAGTATCCTTGTGTGCATGTTGCAGTGCCTCGTGTGTAGTTTTCTCCATATGGTGTGGACCTTTCCCCTTCTGCGAACCTTCTGGGAGTCGGTGGCGGTCCTTGATGAATTGTGTGAAACACAACTGGGACTAAACCCCCAGATGTTACTTCTAGGAAGGTTTTATGATTTGGTGTTTTTTGTTTTTTTTTTTCTTACACTTTGTTTTATGCACAAAGAGAAATCTTGCTTCACTGGAAGCTGGCCATCCTTCCTGCCCTAGCTGCCTGGAAGGCCACTATTAACAGAGTCCTGCCCCCTGAACAAATTTACTTATCAGGGTAGGAACTGGCCATGGAAATCCGAGAAAAGTTGGTCAGCCTGGATACTTCCTCAAGGTGACATGAGGTGTGGCCTATTTTTTTTTTTTTTTTTCTCTCCTTCCCCCCTCCCCAATACATGTGCTTCCACCTGCAGTGGTTACTGTCCACAGGCAATTATCCTCTGCTTCCCCCTGTGGATTGTGATCATGTATGTTGTGATGGTGATCAAGACCTCCTTTTTAATACTGTGATCAGTTACTCCGGAATCTTTTTGGTTAAGTATTGTTTTATTGTACACTGAATATGTCTTAGCTTCCTTCATGAGCTAACATTTTGATGGAATGTCATTACACATTGCTCTCTCTGATGTATGGTGATCTGTTGTACCTGGCATCTAGTTTGTATATTTTGCTGTAAATATTCAATAAACCTTTTTTCTGTAAAAACAAAAAAAATGCACTTATCAGTATTTCAGTTTTAAAATATTTCACACTAATGTTTGATGGTTTCTTACATTTTTGTTTTTAGGTTATAAGGATGGAGAGTTTAGCTGGCCTTCCTACTTAAAGCAATGCAAGTCACAAGCTGCTCCAAAGACCTTATTTAAAAGTTATAACACGGTGAGATAATCTAAATACAGAAATATGCTTTAGCTATTAAACATTTCTAGTTTGTATTTTTAGTACATGGTGCTGTGGCTTCATTTAAAGCCCAGCTGAACCTTCAGTTTAAATTGGCTCAAATAATTCCAGGTGCACCAAAGCAAAAGTGTTTTAACCACTTGCCCTCCTGAGGATTTACCCCCTTCCCGTCCAGGCTATTTTTTGCGTTACGGCGCTGCGTTTTTTTAACTGACAATTGCGTGCTCATGCAACGCTGCACCCAAATGAAATTGATGTCCTTTTTTTTTTTTTTCCCCACGAATTGAGCTTTCTTTAAGTGGTATTTGGTCGCCTGTGAGGTTTTTATTTTTTGCGCTATAAAAATAAAAGAGCAACAATTTCGACTTTTTGCTATTTAAACATGTCCAGAAATTTTTTTTTAAAAAAATGCAATTTTGTCATAAATTTCAGCCAAAATTTATTCTGCTACATGGCTTTGCTAAAAAAAAAATCCCAATACGTGTAAATTAATTGGTTTACGTGAAAGTTGTAGCATTTGTAAATGGCGGTATATATACTGTGATTTTTTTTTTTTTTTTCCTAGTAATGGCGGTGATCAGCAACTTATAGCAGAACTGCAGTGGACATTCTGACACTGAGGAGAACTGACTTGGTGTCACTGACATTCCCAGTGACACCAATACAGTGATCAATGCTAAAAAAAAAAAGCACTGACACTGGGCAGGAATGGGTTAACATGGGGGGTGATCAAAGGGTTAACTGTGTGCTGGGTGTGTTTACTATGGGGCGGTGTCTGTGTGCTTCACTGTAAGCACGCTACTTTGGATGGCTGTGCTGTGCACCCAGAGATGCAAAATCTTGTATGTATATGTGTATATATATATATATATATATATATATATATATATATATATATATATATATGATATGATTTTGCGCACCCGTGCCGTCCTGTAGCAGTATTTCTGCTATAGGGTGGTCTGGAAGCGGTTATTGTATTACAGTTTGTTTTCTTTCTAAAGCAGCCACAGCCTAAACAAAAAGTCACTCCTCAGCAGCAGATGAGTAGGAACTTTGCATGCTGTGGGGAAGAAATGGTCTCCCTGTGGAGGTCTGACAAGTCAAACCTATAGCTGTGGTTTGACAGAGGGTGTGTCAGACCTCTGCAAAAAGATCACTGCTTCCCTATTGAGAGCATTCTGCAGCATGCTGGCAGGGAACATGCTTTTTTTTTACTCAGCTTTGTAAAGAAAACAAACTGTGAGACACAGTGGTGCACACCTTGTTTTGATGCATCTGGAATGTATTAAAGGATAAGTTCACCTTTTTGACCAAAAATAATAAATGCACATTTTTTTGCAGGTAAAAAAATGTGCATTTATTATTTTTGGTTGCAGGAGACTGTAAGGCATTGATCGACGGTGCCATACAGGTCTCCTGCAGAATGTATGGGCAAACAGATCTACTGGCAGGAAGATTCAATGATCTACCATGGCGCTCCACCATGCCGTGGTAGTTTATTGAGAACTACAAGCTGACAGCCGCTAAGGCTGTTGGGACTTGAAGTTCATTCATTCAAAGAACACTGTGAATGAATGACGCAGCCCATGTGGGCAGAGCCCCAATCGCCTGCGCTGGTTTTAAAAAGTGACAGCCAATACTTCTGTCATGAGGGACGGGGGCTTGGGGTGCAGCGGCTACAGCATTGCGAACATATTACATGTTCCACCCTTAAAACGGAGGTTAACATGTTCCCAAAGGTGAACTTATCCTTTAAGTTAATTAGCACACACATTGTCTTCATGTTTACATTAACCAAGCACTATCTTCACTTTCTCTTCATGGTTTAGTAAAGGCTAGTTCACACACACAGCGCAGTTAATGGTGGTTTTTCTGCACTGGCCAAATGCCAGTGACCACTAATGCAGAAAAGAAATTGTTGTTTTCTGTGTGCCCTTATTGCACTGCAGCCAACCAGGAAGTGCAGTGCAGCGAGCTGTGGAAAAATGCAGACAAGCTACATTTTATCACAGTGCACAGGTTGCCACCCCAGTGCTACTGTGTGGAGACATGAATGAAGGCAGGCCATATTCGGCCGAAATCGGTCGGCCCCGTTGCCGATGCTGCCATCCATGTCCACGAAAAATGGCCGTTTTTCGTGGATTTTCCAGCATGACCGATAAAAATAAATGAGGAGGTCTGCAAAAAACGTCTGACGGGCTGGCCCCACTAACGGCGTGATTATCAGCCGATTTATTTGTGCGGACGAAAATTCGGCCGATAAACGACCCATCTATGGCCTGCAGAAGTGCATGTCTTATAATGCTAAAAAAAAAAACCCAAAAGAAACTGATGCACTGAAACACATTTATACTGCCCCCCCTCACAGAAGCCGAAAACTGACAGCTGTTCGCACACTAAAACGAAGCATTTAGTGTGTGGGCAGTGTGACTGGGCCCAGGAAAATGTTTTTTAATTAATATATTTTTGGCATCTCATCGATTTTAATGTATTGTTTTTAAATACTATAATAGTGTCAGAAAATTACAGTTTTAAACCAGCACGCTGCAGTGGCCTATGCAAGCTGAAACTACATTTTTCTAATTGAAGCCTCTAGCTGGCATATGCTCATTATATCATAACTGATATATTGATAACATGATCATGAACCACTCTTGCTAAGCAACTCCAAGTGGGGTCGTCCACTGTAGGAGCTTCTCAAGTAGGGATTTTTGTTTTATTTTAATGAGATAAATCCCTTAATTCTGCCCATTCATCTTTTTTGTTATACTGTTTTTTTTGTAAACCTATTATTCAGTTCATGTTTTGTACTCATTTGTTTACAGCCAGTAACGCCATCTGGCTTCCGTGTGGGTATGAAACTGGAAGCTGTGGATCGGAAGAATCCATCTTTACTGTGTGTGGCTACAATTTCAGATATTGTGGAGAACAGACTACTTATTCATTTTGATAACTGGGACCACAGTTATGATTACTGGTAACAGCCATCTTTTTTTCTTTCTTTTAAAATATAATTACACTTTACCTGCCTAGTCTTTCATAGACCAAACACATATGCCCTACAGGACTTCAGTTGAAGAAAAACTATGACTATGGTTTTTAAATCTTTGTGGTATCCTTCAGGAGACCAATTGCACAGAACATTTGCTTCCATTCTGATTCCTGGCTACATTGTGCTACAAAAGCACATTTTTTTTTTTTAATGTTTGTGTTGGCAGTAGCTCCACCCCAGGCTGAATAAGGGCTACTGCTGATCTGGAGAGAGAGACTACTACAGTACTAGTTGCAAGCTTGTGTTGTGAAAAATACAAGCTAGCAAGCACTCCTCTCTCCGGCAACTGAGTCAGGTCTGCGGGAAGAAGGACTGGAGTCGTAGCTGCTGGGCTTGTGGTTTATAAACAACGGCTCTAGTCTGCAGCTTGCCATCATTCACGACTTTAGACCCTCTTCCTACAATAGCTGGTGGGCAGGTCTGGGCTCAATAGATTTTGCTGTGTGTACAAGGCAGAGCAGTGGAGGCACAAGGCTGTAGATTAGATGGCACAGCTGCAGAAGTTATGCACCTCTCCTGTGTGTGCTGTCATTTTCCCCATCCACTGTGTGCACTGCCCCTATGCTCTGTACCTTCTTGCTGGCAGCCTAGTTGAACAGTGTCTCCCCCCTCTCTCTCTCCCCCCTCTCTATCTTCCCCCCTCTCTATCTTCCCCCCTCTCTATCTTCCCCCCTCTCTCTCTTCCTTCCCCTCTCTCTCTCCCCCCTCTCTCTCCCCCCCTCTCCTCTCCCCCCCTCTCTCTCCCCCCTCTCTCTCTCCCCCCTCTCTCTTCCCCCCTCTCTCTCCCCCCCTCTCCCCCTTCTCTCTCTCCCCCCTCTCCCCCCCCTCTCTCTCCCCCCTTCTCCCCCCCTTCTCTCTCTCTCTCCCCCCCTCTCTCTCTCCCCCCCCTCTCTCTCTCTCCCCCCCCTTCTCTCTCTTTCCCCCCCCCTTCTCTCTCTCTCCCCCCCTTCTCCCTCCTTCCCCCCCTTCTCTCTCTCCCCCTTCTCTCTCTCCCCCCTTCTCTCTCTCGCTTTCCCCCCTTCTCTCTCTCTCGCTTTCCCCCCCTTCTCTCTCTCTCGCTTCCCCCCCCTTCTCTCTCTCTCGCTTTCCCCCCCTTCTCTCTCTCTCTCGCTTTCCCCCCCCCTCTCTCTCTCTCGCTTTCCCCCCTTCTCTCTCTCTCGCTTTCCCCCCCTTCTCTCTCTCTCTCGCTTTCCCCCCCTTCTCTCTCTCTCTCGCTTTCCCCCCTTCTCTCTCTCTCGCTTTCCTCCCCTTCTCTCTCTTCGCCCCCCCTTCTCTCTCTCTCGCTTTCCCCCCCTTCTCTCTCTCTCGCTTTCCCCCCCCCCTTCTCTCTCTCTCGCTTTCCCCCCCCTTCTCTCTCTCTCGATTTCCCTTTTCCCCCCCTTCTCTCTCTCTCGCTTCCCCCCCTTTCCCCTCGCTTTCCCCCCCCTTCTCTCTCTCTCGCTTTCCCCCCCTCTCTCTCCCCATCTCGTACAGCTCCAGCTTACAGTACAGACCTTCTTTGGATGACAGGCACTGGAACACAAAGAATGTTCCAGCGCTTGGCTCTTCTCTGTCAGGCTGAGTTAGGCAGCAGAGTTTCTCAACAGGGATGCCGCCTGAGGTAGTCAGGGGTGCTGCAGCATACTGATGGGGGAAAATTATTCAGATCAGGCCAAGCTCCCGCTCCACTTCTGAATTATACCTTGGCACGGCAGTAGCATGATCAGGACCGTGAGTGAAGAGTAATGCAAGTGAGAGGTGTCTTTCTTGAGACCTGACCTCTCCACCTCCCCCTACAGGACAGTACCCAGTATTGCAGCAGCTAGCAGTGAAAGTGTGGGTACAATACTGCATCTTTTGAAAGGTGTGTGTGTGTGTGTGTGTCTTTTAGTCTTGATCCCTAATTCTGTAGGATCAATCAGAACTGCTTTTTTAGGGCTTATTGTGTAATAGCGGCCAAGACTGCCACTCCTCTAAAAAGCAATCCATGCTCAGATCTATTTTCTGAGTCGTTTGACAGGCTGTGAAAAGGCGGCAAGTCACCTCCTCACTCCCTGTTTTAACCCCCTAAATGCAGCACAGCATGTGAACAACCCTGGCTGCTGCCTCTGCAGCTAAAGGGGAAGCATTAAGGGTGGTATAAACGCAACTTAACTGCATGGTTTTTATGGCCCTCCGACCTTGTGTGTCAGTCAGCCCTTGGTTCACATCTGTGTGGCTGAGTGCTGCATGTAGGGCAGACCATGCATTTCAGTGGGCTGCCCTACCCACAGAAATGCAGGGAAAGAAGTTTTTGACCTCTTTTTAAAATTGTACCACTCACAAAAATGCACTGAATTTACCAATGTGTGGAGGAATATTAAGAATTAATGACACCCCTGCGTATCTGCTAAAGAATAGCATCTTTGTCTGTGTCGCTACCAATTTTTCATGCATTCTCTGTTACGCAGTAATGTGAGCCAGGCTTTAGCCTGGGGTGCTTTGAAATGAAAATACTTTTCAAGGACGCTGTGACTGGAATAAGGCTGAGAGGTTGCATTTTCCATCAGTTCCAGTTGTGTCTTTGGGCCTGGAAGTGAGGTAGGATCTGTCCTAGTGCACACGGCAAAAAAAAACAAAAAAACTAACAAGAACTTTTTGGTTATACATCCATTTGGCATGTTAAAGTGGTTGTAAAGGCAGAAGATTTTTTTACCTTCATGAAGGCTATGCATGAAGCTAAAAAAACCTTCTGCATGCAGCATTCACTGCAGCCCCCCTTATTGTTGCCTGATCGCGATCCAGTGATGTGCACAAGGCTCTCCTCTCACTCGCCCCTCATTGGCTTAGATGTAGCATTGGGAGCCATTGGATAATAAATAACTATAGCACCCCCTTGGTGCCCAACTGCAGAAACAAGAATTATATAACAACCCTCAGGTTATAAGATGCAGTGGCATCGCTATGGGGGTGCGGACCGCATCTGGGTGACACCTGCAAGACGGGTGACACCAGGGCTGGTGGCAGGATTAGGGGGGCGGTAAAATTTCCAGCCAACTTGCACAGGCGGAGGAGCTGGCTCCCCTCCTCCCACCACTCAGCACTGTGCGATCGGGCGATGCAAGTCCCTGCATGCTTGCAGTACAGTGAAAAGGCCTGTGAGTCTGCTGCAGCTTGCCAAACTCCTTCTGTCTTATGTTAGTGTTACTATGCAGTGCCGCCATCCTATCCTGTCTGTGTGGGGTGACGTCATGACTCCTCCCTTACTGGACTGGGAAAACCAATAGGAGAGTCTATCCGGTGACAGAGAGGGAGGGTCACCAAGGGGCTGAACAGCATGAGCATGTGGATGTTGTTCCTGTAGTGAGGCAGCTCTGGAAGCGTCCCTGGATGCAGAACTCAATACTGAGGGGGGCAAGTCCTGCAAACAGGTTAATGTATGTACAGTACGGTGTCTACCCTGACACTGTAACGTACATTATATACAGGCCAGTGTATATAACATAGTACAGTGTCAGTATACAGACTGGTCTGTATCTAATGTACAGTATGGTGTCATCAGGGTACAGACTGGTCTGTATATAATGTACAGTATGGTGTAAATGTACTGTCTGTACCCTAACATACTGTACATTATATACAGACCAGTCCACCCTGATTACATCATACTGTACATTACAGACCAACCAGTCTGTACCCTGACACTGTACTGTACGCTATATACAGATCAGTGTATACAACATACAGTATAGTTTCAGTTTTATGCTGTCAAAGTTTTTTGCCTTTTAGTTATACTTCATTTTTCAAATTAATATATGTAAATCACAAAGGTGAAAACAGAGTCCACAGAGGAGCATGAATGATTAACCAGAGATCTCTAAAACTCGCATGGTAGCAATAAAAAGTCCTAATGGAAACTAATTGGAGGAAAGATGATCTTCCCAATATATGACAGAAGTGGGTAATAGCCTCCTGGTCCCAGAGGACATGCACCCCACACCACCCGTTTGAGTAGGCAGAAGCTTACCAGAGCAGAATGACCCCTAATATGTAGTGATCAAACAGAGCTTATGATGTTTCCAGGGAGCTCTCAGATCACTACAACTTTTCTCCAGACCCGCAGGTAAGTATGGCACCCGCAAACAGCCTGTCCACTCCAAAAGTCAGCAGCACTCAAGAATGTGACCAGGGTTGGCAAGCAGACATCAAAGAAAGGAGAACACTCCCCATAGTGAAGATCAGTATTAAAACAGGACATTTATTAACCACTTGCCCTCCTTAGGATTTATCCCCCTCCCTGACCAGGCCATTTTTAGCGTTATGGCGCTGTTACTTTAACTGACGATTGCGTGGTCATGGAACGCTGTACCCAAATTAAATTTATGTCCTTTTTTTTTCCCCCCGCAAATTGAGCTTTCTTTTGGTGGTATTTGATTGCCTGTGCATTTTTTTTTTTTGTTTTTTTGTTTAATTTTTTGCACTATAAAAAAAAAAAAAAGACGAAATTTGAGAAACAAACAATATTATTGACTTTTTGCTATTAATACTGTCCAGTAAAAACATGTCCAGTAAAAAATTAAAAAAATCAAATTTCGTCATAAATTTAGGCCAAAATGTATTCTGCTACATGTCTTTGCTAAAAAAAACAATCCCAATACGTGAAAGTTATAAAATTTTCAAGTGGCGGTATAGATACTGGGGTTTTTTTTTTTTTCTAGTAATGGTGGCAATCAGAGACTTATAGCAGGACTGCAGTGGACATTTTGACACTGGGGGGAACTGACTTGGTGTCACTGACATCCCCAGTGACACCACTACCTGTGATCAGTGCTAATGGCACTGGGGAGGAAGGGGTTAGCATGAGGGGCGATCAAAGGGTTAACTGTGTACAGGGAGTGTTTTACTAGGGGACCATGTCAATGTGCTTCACTGTAAGTACACTGCTTTGGATGGCTGTGCACAGCCATCAAAAGCAGTGTGCCCGAGCTGACAGGGAGAATTATTAGTAAACAAAACAGTCGTCCTCCCCATCAGAGATGCTCAGTAATCACCAGCCGGAACCTGGTGATTGACAGGCGCGGCCGCGTAGGGTGGCGTGGGTAGGGCGCGTGCAGGGCTCTCACGCGCCACCTACCTGGAAATGCAAAATCACGTATATATACATGATTTTGCTCACCCATGCCGCCATGTAGCAGTATTTCTGCTATAGGGCGGTCGGGAAGCAGTTAAGCCAATGCACTTACAAATGTAGCGTATAAAGCTATTCTAATATACAAGGGAAACATCCATCTGCCAGAATCAAAGACGGACCATGACTTGTTGCACATGCGTGGTTCGCGTGTATCTCAGCTCCGTCCTATGCGTTTTGCCACATATATGACGTCATCTGGGGTTCAGGACACATGCGGCCACCACACTCTTAAATAGGAAAACATCCATGGGATATATAGGATGGGGAGGAGATTGGACACACTTCCCACAGAGGGGGAGATCGCAGAATTAACCCTTAAACAAGTACTTTTTTGGCCCAATCCCCATTAGTAACTAGAGATTGTAAATTAGTCCTCCGACTGCACCTCCTTCTGTGCATTCTGTAAATGGAACTAAACCAAGGAAAAATATTTATATTAAAAAACTACATTACGTTCAAATTAAAAGGCCAACAAAGTCCCCATTTGAAATGCTTATATTCACTTTATAACTTGGGAGATTGTTACATAATTCTTGTTTCTGCACTTTGGCACCAAGGAGATGCTGTAGTTATGTAATATAGTGCTGCACTTTTTTGGTTTTTGGTATCGAGGTATTTTGTCAGCTGCTTGTCTGTTGGTTCTTACTCAGGCCATAGTGCACATTTTTTTATTTGTTTATATACAACAGTTGTATATTCTAGATTTTTTCTTTTTTTTCTTTTTTTTACGCATGAAAGTGGAGTTACTCCTTAAAATAATTTGATTGCTGCCCAAACCTTTTGCATGCATTTATTAATTAACAAACCTTTACATAGACTTGACTTGTAATTCATTATCGGTGACTCCCCTATATTTACAGTCCATTTTGCAGACATTTCTGTAGTTCATGGAGGAACCTTCACAATGACATGACTTTCTTTAGCAGGATAGGGGTTTGTAATTTTGAGAGGATCTCACTAAATACCATTTATTTCCCAGGTGTGATGCTAGCAGTCCATATATCAGACCTGTTGGACATTGTAAAGAACTTGGGATACCTTTGACTCCCCCACCAGGTAAAGCACTCTGAGCATATCTTGTCAACCTATTTGGATGAAAAAGGGTACACTATTATACATCATTTGAAGTGTATTTCCACTTCTGCAGTCACATTTGAGAGAACCCCATTATATGTTTATGTGTTCCCTATCACACAGTGTACCTAAAAATATTTTTTACCTTTCCTGGTGTTTGTTTGGAACAGGACTTGGGCAAACTGCAAGCTACTCTGGACAATTTGAAATGAGCAGAAACTCCAACTGTCTTTAGTGACAAAGATAGACATGAGTTTCCCCTCATTAACATATATTGCAGAAAGCCAGCTTCTAGATCTTGATTTACTAAAACTGGAGAGTGCGAAATCTGGTGCAGCTGTGCATGGCAGGCAATCAGCTTCTAACTTCAGCTTGTTCAATCAACCTTTCCTAAAAAAAACCTGGAAGCTGATTGGTTTCTTTACAGAGCTACACCAGATTTTGCACTCTCCAGTTTTAGTAAATCAACCTACGTGTTAAAATCTGGTTGTAGCTGATAATGGGATTTGCCAGCACAGTACAGGCAGGGTTTATTATGGTAAACATTAACTCCTCAGCCCAATTCTTAACAACTTGAGCCCCAGGCCAATTCTGACATTCCTCTCCTACAAAATCAGCATTTTTTTTTTGCTAGAAAATTACTTAGAATCCCCAAACATATTTTTCAGCAGAGGCCCTAGAGAATAAAATGGTTGGTGTTGCAGTTTTTTGTGTCGCACAATTTGCACAGAGGTTTTTCAAATGCACATTTTTTGGAAAAAAAAAAAAAAAAAAAACACTTTAATGAATTTTAGTGAAAACAAACACAATATAATACCCAATTTTTGGTAAAATGTAAAAGCTATTACGCCATATCACGCTTTAAAATTGCACACGCCCGTGGGTTGGTGACAAACTATGATACATTAAATTATCCATAGGCAATGCTTAAAAATCTTTTACAGGTTACCAATTTAGATTTACACAGGGGGCCTAGTGCTAGAACTATTGCTCTCACTCTGATGTTATTACCTCGTGTGGTGTGATCATTGTTTATGTATGCTCATGGGACCAACATGTGCGTTTGCTTTTCCATGGGGGAACGGTGGCACTTTAAATTTCTTTTTTTTTTGTTACTATTATTTTTTTTATATATTTTTACACTGTATCTTTTTAAGTTTTTTTAAATCCCTTTTTTTTGCTATCATAAGGGATGAACATCATCCCTTGTGATAGCATGGGCCATGACCGGTCCTCTTTATGGAAAAATATGGGGTCTATGAGACCCCAGATATCTCCTCTGGCCTTCAAAGCAGCAGATTAAACCGAGTTTGGTTTGATCTGCTGATACACATCTGAAAGCGGCTTGTAAACAAAGGAACTGAAACCGGAAGTGATGAAATCCTTGTCACTTACGGTTTCTGCTGTTGCACAGTGGGAGGAACAAGATCTGTTCCTCTCACTGTGTTCCGGGAAGCAGATGCCATCCTTACCAGGCTCCCCGATCACTTGAGAAAGTCCAGTAAAGGCAATGGTGGGAGGGGGGTGGGACCCCCTTCTGCCTCCTGTAAAAGTAATCCAGTGGCAGCTTAGCCGCTAGAATTAGGTTTACATTGAATGGAATCGCTGGCCCTAAAAAATATCTACCTTCCAGTCCAGCGATGTACTGGTACTTTGCTGGTCATCAAGTGGTTAATATTGCATAGCAGAAAAAAGCGAAGTAATGCTATGTGAATGAGAACATGTAACAAATATAAGCAGGTGTTATCCCAGTTTGGCTGGTGTATGTGGTGTTAACATCTGGATGTGGGATGTACTTTACCAAAAGTTTTATTAATAAGTTGAAAATTTGAACGCATAGTATGTGATCACAGATCATGTACATAGAGATTCAAATGAATACAGTATCTCACAGAAGTGAGTACACCCCTCACATTTTTGTAAATATTTTATTATCTTTTCATGCGACAACACTAAAGAAATGTCTCTTTGCTACAATGTAAAGTAGTGAGTGTACAGCTTATATAACAGTGTATATTTGCTGTCCCCTCAAAATAACTCAACACACAGCCAGTAATGTCTAAACCGCTGGCAACAAAAGTGAGTACACCCCTAAGTGAAAATGTCTAAATTGTGCCCAATTAGCCATTTTCCCTCCCCAGTGTCATGTGACTCCTTAGTGTTAAAAGTTCTCAGGTGGGGGAGCAATTGTTACATTTGGTGCTATCGCTCTCACTCTTTCATACTGGTCACTGGAAGTTCAACATGGCACCTCATGACAAAGAACTCTCTGAGGATCTGAAAAAAAAGATTTCTTGCTCTACATAAAGATGGCCTAGGCTATAAGAAGATTACCAAGACCCTGAAACTGAGTTGAAGCACAGTGAACCAAAAAGGTTTATCTTGGTCTCAAGTGTGTGTGGCGGCAACCAGGTGAGGAGTACAAAGACAAGTGTGCCTTTCCTACAGTCAAGCATGGTAGTGGAAGTGTCATGGTCTGGGGCTGCATGAGTGCTGCCAGCACTGGGTAACTACAGTTCATTGAGGGAACCATGAATGCCAACATGTACTGTGACATACTGAAGCAGAACATGATCCCCTCCCTTCGGAGACTGGACCGTAGGGCAGTATTCCAACATAATGACCCCAAACACACCTCCAAGATGACCAATGCCTTGCTGAAGAAGATGAGGGTAAAGGTGATGGACTGGCCAAGCATGTCTCCAGACCTAAACCCTATAGAACATCTGTAGGGCATCTTCAAACAGAAGGTGGAGGAGCGCAAGGTCTCTAACATCCACCAGCTCCGTGATGTCGTCATGGAGGAGTGGAAGAGGACTTCAGTGGCAACCTGTGAAGCTCTGGTGAACTCCATGCCCAAGAGGGTTAAGGCAGTGCTGAAAAATAATGGTGGCCACACAAAATATTGACACTTTGGGCCCAATTAGGACATTTTCACTTAGGGGTGTACTCACTTTTGTTGCCGGTGGTTTAGACATTAATGGCTGTGTGTTGAGTTATTTTGAGGGGTCAGCAAATTTACACTATTATACAAGCTGTACACTCACTACGTCACAATGTAGCAAAGTGTAATTTCTTCAGTGTTGTCACATGAAAAGATAGAATCAAATATTTACAAAAATGTAAGGGGTTTACTCACTTCTGTGTGATGCTGTAAATGTTGGGACATGACACGTGAGCATTATCCTAGTTAAAGAAATCATAATTCCCTGTCAAGGTTATCCAATACATACCTCAAACCAAAAGTTCATGTTGATAGGGTGCCGTTAGAGGCTGCTAGAAAAAAAGTTGCAAAAGTGAATTTACAGGTCGTGTACATAGCTTATTTCTCAACCATAGGATTGTAGGTATTGCCCTTAATAAAGGGACGTGGATCGGAATTGATCTCTCTGTAAGAAAAGGTAGAGGAATGAAGAAAGACTACTATAGGCGGGGAGAGGTATAAAGGGGAGGGAGGGGGAAAGTTCCCCCAAAGGCTGTCAGGAACAAGTAACATGGTTCAAAGAGGTCTGGATTTTTTTTTTTTAATTCTATTTTTAACTAGCATTAGTTGACCGTGGCTGGATGTTGCCACACACTAATTTTCAGAGCACCTTCAACCACCTTTGACCAAATGCAACCTTTCTCCATTAGTTTCTGCCTTCTATATGAAATGATCACAGTTGCTTGCGGTATAATACTTTTACAAAACAAATAATAAATGCACGTATTCAGTATTTGCATAAAAATGTGCATGTATTATTTTATGGTAAATGAGCCCACAAAGCATTGCAACCACAGTCGGTGAATCACAGGTGCAATGCCTGGCTCCTCCAGACTCTTCCTCCAGCTCTATCTGTACTGAGGTACAGGCTTTCAGTTAGAGAGCAGGAGGACGTGTTAATGGGCTATGAGTGTGGTGATCACTAGGAACTAATGGTGCGGTGGAAGACAGGATTTGTAGTTTAAAAATTCACAGGAGCACAGCTTGCCAAAATTCTCTGAAAATTGTTTGTGGCCTGCATTATGACCGATGTTAAAAATATTTTATTACACCTCTAAGCTCTAGTTATTTTTAGGCATAGAAGCTATTTGCCTTCCTTGTTCCAGTGGTGCATCTTCTACGGCTCGGGGCCCTGCACACTTCCAGGTTTCACCCTGGGTGGCACAGCTGCAGCCAATGAGGTGTTTCTGCAGCACCAGGCTGAATTCCTAAAGGGCTGGTGTACACCATGAACAGACTCCCATCTTACATTTGTTCACTTGATGCTGACATTCCATGTTTCCTAATCCTGTCCTACTGTGCCTCTGTCCCTGAGCATCCCTGTCCCTGCTTCTCCCACCACCTGGTCCACACAGTCCAATGTCAATGTCCAGTGCTCAACCTGTCACTGGCATTGTGGTTTGCATTCTTTCCAGCATGCTCCATCTGTTGCTCCTGGCTGACTGCACTGGTTTTGGTTTTCTCCATCTGTTGCTCCTGGCCTCTGGTACTGTTTCAGGCATGTTATACCTGTCACTCCTGGCCACAGACATTGTTCTTGGCATGCTCCATGTGTCTCTCTTGAATCTTGGCACTGTTCCTGGTATGCCCCAGTTGCAATAACTCTTCTCCCTTGCAGCAAGGCAGCACCACTCCTGAAGCACTTCATTGCCAGCTTTGCCCGTCCAAGCCCTTGCTGCTGGGCACAGCTAATCCTGTTCTATTCCTTTTGACAAACTCTGTGCCTCTGAGCTCCTGCAGCTGTGCACATGTTCTCCTTCTATCCTCCATTTGCTAAACTCTTCTACTTTGAACCCAGCCAGGTACATTCGAACTTCTCTCTTTGCTCTTATTTTTCCAACTATGTGCAAGTATCTGGCAAACCAACCTGGGAGTGCAGTGCGGTGCAGTTGAGTTCAGATCCTGGTGGGAAAATCCCTGGTTTATAACACCTGTCCCTTGGTGAACCCCTACATTGTCAGAGCAGGGTGCAGTTCATTAAATTTTTTTTAGTTAGTTT